TTCTAAAACAAATAGCCTCTGCCTGGTCTGTAAGTGTGGTTCACAGTTGTCTAAAAGTGATTTATTGAGCAGCGTTTAGCGTAACACATGTGGAGGGTCACACAAGCTTATTCTAAAACAAACAGTGATGGCTTAGTTAAGGGAGACACGTCAATACCTAATCTACACGGAGGACCTGTTCCCAGACCTGTCAACCTATAGCAAACATGGCGAAGGGGATGGGAGGATGAAGGGGTGGGAGGATGGACCAGCCAATGCCAATCCGTGCAATGTTAAAGGGAGGGCTTTATAACAACCAATCAGAATGGGTGGTGGGAGGTCTGTTTACACCGTCCTATCAGAGTGAGGAGGGTTTGTGATAGGTTGCTCTGTTTTAAGGTGGGCCCTATATAGGCCTGTGATTACACACACTAGAATAACTTTTTTTTTCTCCACCATCGCAACAATGGCTACTCCTCAAAGATCTCAGACACCAGCCCTGAAGTCATCGAAAAGGGGCTCTCTCACAAGGAAAGCTCTTAAGCGTAAACCGTACACCGTCACGAGGCAAGGGAGAAGTGAAGCATCTTATACAATTACCTACACCGCTGGGTATGTTATTTTTGGGGAGGAAAGCATGTCTATAGCGAGCTGGTTTCATTTCAGGACTCACTCCAACGCTATAAATACGGCTATGGTTAAAAATGTAGAGTATAGACATTTTTGGAGAGAGGATAACAAGGGGGATTATGAGCTAGTGGTTACGAATGACCCTGCAGACGTAGAAAACAAGGGTCTTGTGCAAATTGGATTTAAACTGTAAAAAGATTGATAGTAGATCTACCACCATAGACGGAGTCTTGGAATGCTTAACGGTTGAAATCGAGGTTAAAAAATCCCGGAAGATAAATGTCAGCTGCTTGTATAGAACGCCTGGGTCATGTTTAGACACATTCAATCAAAGCGTAGATAATCTATTTTTTAAAACAAAAAAGCTCCAAATTGTGTGTGGTGATTTTAACATCAATCTTCTAAACCCCTTAGACGACTCAAACATCACTGATTTTACAACAAGAATGTACAGTAACAGTTTATTCCCTCTCATTACAAAGCCAACCAGAATAACAACCAGCTCAGCCACGCTAATAGACAACATTTTCACAAATCAGCTCGAGACCCAGATAACAGCAGGAATACTCCTTAATGATATAAGCGACCATTTACCTGTTTTCAGTATTTTCCACGAACTCTCTGACAAGAAAGGAAAAACACAGACTGACCATTATAGGTTTTTGTAGACATCGAACAGCAGAGACTTTGGCAGCTTTCAAAGCTGACCTGTCTTTATGGGACTGGAGTGAGGTACACGCTTCTACTGATCCAGATGAAGCCTATGATATATTCTTAAACATCTTTCTGACACTCTATGATAAACACTGTCCAATTAGAAAAAAACATATTAAAAATTCCACTAGACAAGTGAAACCATGGATCACAAAAGAAATACTAAAATCATGTAAAAAGAAAAATCACCTATATTCAATGTTTATGAAAAACAGAACCTTAGACTCAGAGCATAGATACAAAATGTATAAAAACAAATTAACCAAAATAATTAAACAGAGCAAAAAAACATATTACTGTAACTCACTTCAACAGCATAAGCATAGTATCCAGGGCATGTGGCAAATATTAAACGGCATCATTAAAGGCACACAAAAAAAGGAATATCCCAAGTATTTTATAGAGGATAACCAAACAATACAGAATCCTAAGGGAATAGCCGACCTATTTAACAATTTCTTTGTGAATGTTGGACCAAATCTTGCAAATAAAATTGATCAACCTAGAGATACTCAAGTATTTGATGAAAGCAACATTCAAAACAACTTAGAGTCACTTTTCCTTTCACCTGTGTGTGAAAATGAAATACTAGCAACTGTAAAATCATTTCAAAACAAGAGATCAACCGATTGTTGTGATATAGATATGTGTCTGAGCAAAGAGATTGTCGAATATGTAGCTGTTCCCTTCACCCACATTTGTAATCTTTCTTTTATAAATGGTGTCTTTCCAAACAAAATGAAAACAGCAAAAGTTATTCCGATCCACAAAGGTGGAGACGAGCATCAATTTACCAACTACAGGCCGATCTCATTACTGCCACAATTCTCAAAGATTTTAGAAAAACTTTTTGTGTCGCGATTAAACAACTTTATTGATAAACATAATCTGATAAATGAGCAACAATATGGTTTTAGATCAAAAAGATCTACATCCATGGCAGTAATGGAGTTGGTCGAGGAGATAACCACTGCAGTGGACAAAAGAGAGTTCACAGTCGGTGTGTTCATAGACCTCAGCAAGGCCTTTGACACCATAGATCACACAATACTTTTAAACAAAATGCAGAGGTATGGTGTCAGAGGTCTTGCTTGTAATTGGCTAAGGAGTTATCTTGGTGGCAGAGAGCAGTATGTTCAAATAAACAACACAGATTCAGATAAAAGGATCTTAACACACGGAGTCCCTCAAGGCTCTGTATTGGGACCTAAGCTATTTCTAATGTATATTAATGATGTATGTAAAGTGTTTAAAAAGTTAAAATGTATAGTGTTTGCTGATGACACAAGCCTGTACTGCTCTGGGCCAGATCTCAAGAAACTCATTCCAACAGTCAAGAATGAACTTGTTATTCTTAAACAGTGGTTTGATACAAACAAATTATCTATAAATTTGAATAAAACTAAATACATAATCTTTGGAAACAGAAATATTGACACACCATGCCACATACAAATATCTGATGTGGAAATTGAAAGGGTGTATTCTACTAAATTCTTGGGAGTCAACATAGATCATGAATTAAATTGGAAGCTGCACATAAACATTCTGAAGACAAAACTCTCAAAAAGTATAGGTATGTTATACAAAATACAAAACTCTGTAAATCATGATGCACTTAATATGTTATATAATTCCTTCATACTGCCATATCTCAATTACTGTATTGAAATATGGGGTAATAATTATAAATCTAACACCAAATCAATTTTCACACTCCAAAAGAAAGCCATCAGAATCGTACATTATGCTGATTATTATGCACACACTAATTCCTTGTTTATTAAATCTAAAACACTAAAGTTTTACGATCTTGTTGATCTAAACATTGCAATTGTAATGTATAAGGCCCATAATCACCTGCTGCCTCAGCGTATCCAAGACCGGTTCAAACCCAGGGAGAGTACATACCATCTCAGAGGCTCCAAAGTTTTCCAAAAACCAAATGTAAGAACTAATATTAAGGGTCACTGTATATCTGTGAGGGGGGTTCAGCTTTGGAATGGCCTGGACGAGGCCTCAAAAAGCTCTATCTCTATTCAACAATTTAAAAAAACCTTCAAAATAAATGCTCTGGAAAAATTCATTGAACAAAAAGAAACTTAGTACCATAATAATAAAAAATAGTAATATTTGAAAATAATATCAAATAATACATAATAATATTCATAATAAATAATATGTAGATATGTACGTATGTGTATCTATATGTATGTATATGTACATGTGGGTATATGTATATCTATGTGTATATATGTGTGTGTATGTATATATGTATGTGTATATATGTGTATGGATAAATGTGTATTATATTAATGTACGTATGTGAATTATGTATATATCAAGGTATGTATGTGTAAGTGTTATGCATTTGATTAGCAATAGGGGGTAGGCCCAGATAAGCTGTTTCAGCTTCTGCCAACTCCCTTTTGGGCTATTTTTATTTATTTTTTTCTTCTTCACATTATTATTCTTTTGTCTTCTAAATGCCCAAATAAAAAAAAAAAATAAAAATAAAAAATAAAAAAATGACACGTCAGCCGACAGCCGTGACAGTTGTGACGATGGTTCGCAGCTGTGCAGATAGAACATGCTATCAAGGTAACTGCAGCTCAACCAGGAGTCGTCTTACCATGAGACCCTGACCAGTTAAAAGTCAAAAGCAGACAAAACGAGCAATCTTAGACCAGAAAGGTTTTCCTCAAAAATCCCTGCACCCAGATCACCTCCAACATTTCATCCAAATCCTGCAACATTTTTTTAGTTATATTTAAAACTTACAGACAAACAAGTATTGTAGTATATTATCATCACCTGGGATTTCCTCTCAATTGAAATTCCTGGAACAATTTCCCGGGAGGCGTTCAAGATTCAAGAGGTATCCCAAACAGCCAAAGGGTTGATTCTATTTTTAAGATCAGAGTTTTGATACCTGACCCAAACCACTTAAAAACATAATCAACTTTTAGAACCTGTCAGAATGATTTATCCTTCATGAAAATGGGTGTTCTCTTGAGGATTGGTGACAATGCATTTTGTTGTTGAAATGAAGCTAACAAAATTACAGCTGGGAAATAGTCAAAATGAAACCGTCTTCATAAAAAATGTCACATTCTTTCTTGCAAGGACAATTGTGCCTTTGACATTGAGTGTTATAGTCATTCAATTTAACCCTTTAGGCGCCAAGTAAGAAGCAGAATTGCCACACAACCTCCTAAATCCGAAACACTTTATATACAGTGACTTGGCCTCCCACAAATCTATACCTACAGTTTTGGTTTAAATAATGTTCTTCTGTGTAATTTACTGCTAAAAATAATCCACTAATCCGTATCCAGTTTCAGGGTGTCTGTTTCATGACACTTTTCTCCAAATATCCTGGCGCTTAAAGAGTTAAGGAATTGAAATGTAAAACCTTTTTAATGTCACTTAAACTTTTACACACCCCAGACACGGTAAACGAAGAGTGGAAGGACATGAAATGAATGATGTTGGAAACGGGCCACCTGTACTTTGCAGATACTGTATGAGCAGGAACACGGCTGTGGAGGTGGTTAAACATTATCAGTGTGGGAAAAGCCGGCGGGACTCAGATGCTGCGGTGGAGGTGGTGGTGGAGGTGGGGGTCTGTATAAAAGTGCAGGGGGCTCGACTCTGGTCCGTAGAGTCTGGACACCATGGAGCTATTGAGGATTTGTGTAGCTGTGGCCGTGCTCCTGGAGGCCGTCTCTGCTGCCTCGGTACGTCATTTCGTTTTTTTTTGTCTAATTGGACTTGAGTGGTTTGTGCAGGTTTGAGTCTCCTCTTTACACTCCTGGTTTCATGTGACCACTGTTTTTATGTCGGACCCCTGAAATAAGGAGAAAAACAGTAGAAGTTCTCACTCATGCTCAGACTGGACACCCCATCACAGGACTTTAAGCCATTTTTATGAAATCACAAAACTATTATGTATAAAAGTTTGAACAATAATTTTCAACCCTATTCATCTCGTTTTTAATCTTCTATAAATTATTAGGGGTGACTATTTATTGCTGTCCATATTTACTGTTTTTTATCTATTATACCTGCGAGCGAAAGCCAGATCCCATCAGAAGCTAAGCAGAGCAGGGCTTAGTTAGCACTGTGATGGGAGACCTCTGGGAAGACCAGGTGCCGAAGTGGGGCAGCTTCCGTCAGCAGCTTTGATTGGTCAGAACTCTTCCACAAGCCATTGATTTGAACACGCCTCCATCTTGGAACGCCGGGGCTTGGCCTTTCTGCGGAAGAGGCCGGACATAAGCTGCCAATTTGCTTCGACTGTGTCTGGAAATAAGAAAAAAATACTTAAAACAAGCATTAAAATCTCACTGCTCTGACGTTTTTCTCTAATAATATTATGAAGTATTATTATTTTTAAACAAGTAAAATAGTTTGACATGACAAACTACATTCAAGTAAACCAGTTTTTACCTGTGTGTCCAAGACAAATTTCCTATGGGATATAATAAATGAATCTTCAATCTTCCATCTTGAATCATGCATGTTTAAAACTGGAGAGGACAGACCATTATCCATGGACCGATTGACACAATACCAGGTCACACACTGGAAAATATTAGAGAGAAATTTGGTGTTATAATGACGTGGAGACTGCACATGGCTCTTGGTTCTGACTTGTGTTGTCTCTGTGTGCAGTTGGGGGTGGTCTACACGGAGGGCGGCCTGGTGGAGGGAGAGAACATCCGCTTAGGCCTCCGCAGACACATGGACGTGTTCAGAGGAGTTCCCTTTGCTGACATCCCAGGACGCTTCGAGAAACCCAAACGTCACCCGGGCTGGGACGGTGAGACGCACTGACGCACACGCAAGAAGGGAAACAAACAGTGACAATAGGGAGGGGATGCAAATGGAACTCAGCTTAGTCTTAGCCAACAACACAAAACAGGACTGAGAAGTGCACATTGAATTAGTATGTCCAATGTGGATTAAGAAGCAGATTCTGTGTTTTATATACAATAAGATAAGATACACTTTATTAATCTTACAGTGGCTCAGTTGGTAGAGCATTGGCCTTTGGGCCTGAAGGTCGTGGGTTCGAGCCCACCATAAAACCTACTTCACGACTCCCACTGATGTCTGCTGTTGTTGTGTCCTTGGGCAAGACACTTAACCCCACTTTGCCTGAAGCCCCAGCTGAAAGGTCAAGGCTCCTGTGGACTCAGCACCTGCAGGAGGATCAGTGAGGGGCTGGTGCTCTACTGTGGACTGGGTGCTCTGTGGACTGGGTGCTCTGACTGCCACCCCCCGACCCAGAACTGGATTAAGGGGAAGAAAATGGATGGATGGATGGAGAAATTTACATGACACATTTGGCATATAGAATCACTCAGATATCACTCACAGTACAGTAGTAAAATATTAGTAAGATTTTTTTTTTTTTTTTACTTTGATGTAGTTTGTCAATTAAGATTATTTTACTAGTTTTAAGATAAAAAATACTGAGCAGTCTGAGCAGTGAGTTTTTAATGCTTATTTCCATATATATTTTCTTGTTTAGATAAAATAAGTATGTTATGCTGTATTTTAAGAAAACATTTCTCAAAAAGGTTTAATAAAAAATTATAATTGAAATATATATTTTAAAACTAGAATCAAGTGGAGCTAGTATTATCTTCTTATGTCATATTTTCTTCCATCCATCCATCCATTTTCTTCCGCTTTATCCGTTGTCGGGTCGCGGGGGCAGCAGTCTAAGCAGAGACGCCCAGACTTCCCTATCCACACACACTTCCTCCAGCTCGTCCGGGGGGACCCCAAGGCGTTCCCAGGCCAGCTGAGAGACATAGTCCCTCCAGCGTGTCCTAGGTCTTCCGCGGGGCCGCCTCCCGGTGGGACGTGCCCGGAACACCTCCCCAGGGAGGCGTCCAGGAGGCATCCGGAACAGATGCCCGAGCCACCTCAACTGGTTCCTCTCGACGTGGAGAAGCAGTGGCTCTACTCCGAGCTCCTCCCGTGTGACTGAGCTCCTCACCCTATCTCTAAGGGAGCGCCCAGCCACTCTGCGGAGGAAGCTCATTTCGACCGCTTGTATCCGCGATCTCGTTCTTTCGGTCATTACCCAAAGCTCATGACCATAGGTGAGGGAGGGAACGAAGATTGACCGGTAAATCGAGAGCTTTGCCTTTCGGCTCAGCTCCCTCTTTACCACAACGGTCCGATACAGCGACCGCATCACTGCGCACGCTGCACCGATCCGCCTGTCAATCTCACGCTCCATTCTTCCCTCACTCGTGAACAAGACCCCGAGATACTTGAACTCCTCCACTTGAGGAAGGACCTCTCCACCCACCTGCAGAGGGCAAGGCACCTTTTTCCGGTCGAGCACCATGGCCTCAGATTTGGAGGTGCTGATTCTCATCCCAGCCGCTTCACACTCGGCTGCAAACCGCCCCAGTGCATGTTGCAGGTCCTGGTTCGTTGGAGCCAACAGGACAACATCGTCCGCAAACAGCAGAGATGAAATCCTGTGGTCTCCGAACCGGACCCCCTCCGACCCCTGGCTGCGCCTAGATATTCTGTCCATAAATACAGTGAACAGAACCGGTGACAAAGGGCAGCCCTGTCGGAGGCCAACATTCACCGGGAACAGGTCTGACTTACTGCCGGCAATGCGAACACAGCTCTGGCTCCGGTCATACAGGGATTGAATGGCCCTCAGCAGAGGACCCCCGACCCCGTACTCCCGGAGAACCCCCCAAAGGACACCCCGGGGAACACAGTCGAACGCCTTCTCCAAATCCACAAAACACATGTGGACAGGTTGGGCGAACTCCCATGAACCCTCGAGTATCCGATGGAGAGTATAGAGCTGGTCCAGTGTTCCGCGACCGGGACGAAAACCACACTGCTCCTCCTGGATCCGAGATTCGACCATCGGCCGTAACCTCCTCTCCAGTACCCTGGAGTAGACCTTACCGGGGAGGCTGAGGAGTGTGATCCCACGATAATTGGAACACACCCTCCGGTCCCCCTTCTTGTAGAGAGGGACCACCACCCCGGTCTGCCACTCCATTGGCACTGCCCCCGATCGCCACGCGATGTTGCAGAGACGTGTCAGCCAAGACAGTCCTACAACATCCAGAGACTTTAGATAATCAGGGCGGATCTCATCCACACCCGGAGCCTTGCCACCATGGAGGCTACCAACCACCTTGGTGACCTCAGCCAGGGAGATAGATGTATCCGCCCCAACATCCTCAGCCTCTGCCTCTGTAACAGAGGACGTGACGGGGGGATTGAGGAGAACCTCAAAGTATTCCTTCCACCGCCCGACAATATCCCCAGTCGAGGTCAGCAGCTCTCCACCCGCACCGTACATGGTGTTGGCAAAGAACTGCTTCCCCCTCCTGAGGCGCCGGATGGTTTGCCAGAATCTCTTCGAGGCCGACCGATAGTCATGCTCCATGGACTCTCCGAACTCCTCCCAGTCCCGGGTTTTTGCCTCTGCAACAGCCCGGGCCGCGGCACGCTTGGCCTGCCGGTACTGGACAGCTGCCTCAGGAGTCCCCCGAACCATCATGGCTCGATAGGACTCCTTCTTCAGCCTGACAGCATCCCTTACTGCCGGTGTCCACCACCGGGTTCGGGGGTTGCCGCCGGGACCAGCACCAGAGACCTTGCGACCACAGCTACGAGCCGCCGCATCGGCGATTGAGGCAGAGAACATGGTCCACTCGGACTCGACAACAAAGTCGATCATCGACCTCCGGCCTAGGGTGTCCTGGTGCCACGTGCACTGGTGGACACCCTTGTGCTCGAACATGGTGTTCGTGATGGACAAACTGTGACTGGCACAGAAGTCCAACAACTGAACACCGCTCGGGTTCAAATCAGGGGGGCCGTTCTTTCCGATCACCCCTCTCCAAGTGTCACTGGCGCCTCCCACATGGGCGTTGAAGTCCCCCAGGAGAATGACGGAGTCCCCGGGCGGTGCACCGTCCAGTACCCCTCCCAAGGACTCCAAGAAGGCCGGGTACTCTGCACTGCTGTTAGGCCCGTAGGCCGTCACAACAATGAGAGACTTGTCCCCCACCCGAAGGCGGAGGGACGCGACCCTCTCATTCACCGGGGAGAACTCCAACACGTGGCGGCTGAGATGGGGGGCAATGAGAATGGCCACCCCAGCTCGCCGCCTCTCCCCGCGGGAAACTCCAGAAAAGTGGAGCGTCCAACCCCTCTCAAGGAGTTGGGTTCCAGAGCCCAAGCTGTGTGTGGAGGTGAGGCCGACTATCTCTAGTCGGTATCGCTCAACCTCCCCCACGAGCTCGGGCTCCTTCCCCCCCAGTGAGGTGACGTTCCACGTCCCAAGAGCCAGATGTTGTGTGTGCGGACTGGGTCGCCGAGGTCTCCGCCTTCGACTGCCGCCCAGTCCTCTCAGCACCGCGCCACCACGGACCCCTCTGCAGGTGGTGGGCCCACAGGAGGGACTGCCCACGTCATCCCTTCGGGCTGAGCCCGGCCGGGCCCCGTGGGCTAAGGCCCGGCCACCAGGCGCTCGCATACGAGCCCCGACCCCAGGCCTGGCTCCAGGGTGGGGCCCCGGCTGCGCCATGCCGGGCGACGTCACTGCTCTCGTTATAGTGCGATCCATGGTGGTTTTTTGGACTGCGCTTCGTCTGACTCGTCACCTGAGACCTGTCTGCCATGGGAGGCCCTACCAGGGGCATGAAGCCCCAGACAGCATAGCTCCCAGGATCATCCGAGTACTCAAACTCCCCCACCACGTTAAGGTGGCAGTCCAGGGGGGAGCTCTTGTTCTATTGAAAGATATTTTTTCTTATTTTAAGAAGTATTATTCAAACCCAGTTGTTTCAAGATGTATCTAATGTTATTATGGGTTTATTTATAGAGTGGGCTTTGTTTTATTGGATGAAGCTGTTTAGAGCCAACTCAAACAGGCCTATGGTCAGGAATATGGAGACAAATTCATTCATAGGCAGGAGTGTCCGAGGACAGTGTGTGCTGATCCTGCTTATGCTAGTCCCAATACAGAGCCATGTTCAGGGTTAGAAAGCCAATTATTGGTCAGTTATTAGGGGTCAAACTGCAACTGTCATAAGCCTGATGTTTATTCACAACTCAAGAATTCCTTAAACTCAGCTACAGTAGATTCATCTTGATCTTAACCTGGCCTAATTCTTTCAAATGAAATGTGGGATGTACAATATATGCATAAATCTTTTGTATGGTTGTTTTTGTATCTTGTTTTTGTATCTTTTGTATCTTGGAGCCAAATAAACACACTATCTATCTATCTATCTATCTATATAAGGAACTTAGCATTTGATATTATGTTATTATAGCCAGTGTACCAATACCAGGCAGTGTAAATCGGGTTCAAAGTGAGCCGGTCAATTTGATTTGCCGACTCCATTAAAAAAAATCATGATCTTCTTGACACATTCACAGTTTACTTTCTATTCATATCGTAACAATTCCAAGATGCCAGTATAACCAGCAGCTTCACCACATATTCTTAGCGCCAGAAAAATCCTATGGAGGATTTCAAGAAGGATCATTTCACCATTGTTGTGTTGTGTTGTGTGTTTGTGTGTGTTTCAGGTGTGTTGAAAGCCAAAGATTTCCGAAAGCGTTGTCTTCAGACGAATGTGTTCATGACCGACACCAGAGGGTCTGAGGACTGTCTGTACCTCAACATCTGGGTCCCTCACGGCCGAGACGGTAAACTCAGCACTTACAGGTGTTATCTGTGAGTCTGATCTGCAGAATGAGATTCAAATGAGATAAACTATTTATGGGTCACAACTTTCTGTTTTATCCAACATTCCCCAATACTGTTAGATTAAGTGACTAGACACAATATCGCAATCATGATTTACACACAAAAAAACATAGAAAGGAGTGGACTTCACCGCTGACTTTCCAGTAACCAAGAAGCAAATCCTGTGCATGGCTGTCTGCAAGTCAAAGCCGTAATCAGGAATGAAGGCAGCTGATTGGTCGGTTATTAGGGCTCATATCATGAATCTACAATGTCTGTCATAAGGGATATTTATTGACAACTCGAGAATTCTACAAAATCTTCTTCTTGGCAAAGTCTAGTCTGGTTTATGGAAAGTCTGGTTTTGAAAAGACATTAATTTATTCTATATTATGTATTGATTCATTCAATGGGGACAACAATTGTACCCAATCAATATTATAGCCAAGGCAAATTTGCAACATCCCCTAGGAGGGCTTTTAACACATTTCAAAACACATTTTACATAATAATATTCACATTATACAACTCAAAAATGATCACACAACTGGTTTGTTTTAAAGAATCGCTTTAATCACGTTAAAAACCATATATACTGTAGAATTGACATCATCCTCTCGACCTACACCTTGAAAACATGGCTATAAAATAAGCTCCAGGTTTGAAAATCAGGACACAGAAGAGATAACAGTGATCCAACTTTGTTTTTACGACTTTTTAATCTTCCGACAACAGTTTTTATATTTAATAGCCATCATGAACGAGTCAATACTTCATCCTGGCCTCTCTTCTTTCCTCTCGATGTCCTCGTAAATCTCGGCTTCTCCCTTTGCGCTCCAGTCTCCACGAACCTGCCCGTGATGGTGTGGATCTACGGAGGGGGCTTCCTGGCGGGGGGGTCGATGGGGGCAAACTTTTTGGACAATTATCTGTACGACGGTCAGGAGATCGCCGACAGAGGGAACGTGATTGTGGTGACGCTGGGATACCGAGTGGGAACGCTGGGATTCCTGAGCACCGGAGAGTCGGATCTGCCTGGTGAGACCTCTTTGTCCATTTTCCTCATTGAAAGAACTAATAGTAGGAATTGTGTATACTGTATTTTTATGTGTTTTTTGTTTTCTATGTTTTGATTGTTGCTGTTTTTTTCACTTGTCTGTACAGCACTTTGGTAAGCCCAGGCTGTTTGGAATGTGCTTTACCAATAAAGATTGATTGATTGAAGTTCCCATTGTATATGGGCCTTGAGTCTGGAATAAAAATGTATTATTATAATTATCTGGCACCTTTTGCTTTCCAGTTTGGTCTACAGGATAGCATTCCAAGAAGAGAATCCTTTATTATGGCTTTTTCACTGAATAGATGCACAGAAGTGGAAGCCTAACCCATTTGTACTTTAATAATGAATACATTTGGTGGCCCAAGTGAGAAATACTCAAGCTTAACTGCAAAAATGTTTAAAATATGAGGTTATAATTGCTTGAATCGAGTGGTTTTTATCTTAATTTAAATATATTCTGACTCTGATTTTGCCAATGGAACAAAAAATTTAGTCTAATTTCAAGTATAAGTGAAAAATGTCTTGTATCTTTTTAAAACAAGATCATTTTTGTCCCATTGGCAAATTTTAAGGCAGTCAAAGTGTCGTCAAATTAAGATACATTTTGCAAAATTTGAGCAATTTTTTACAAATTTTTCACCATGATTAAAATCCTCCAGCTTCATCAGTCATTATCTAGAGAAGTAAAGCTTAACCTTAAACATGTTATCTGTCTGAGGCCAAAACACGTGAACACTAGTGATAGAAAAGTTATAGCAGCACAGGATTTTGTGGTTGAAAAATCAAGTTTAATAATCAACGTTTTAAAGTGTTTTTTCCATTACTACTGTATAAACTCACTATAGTAATAATGATAATACTAATACTAATCTTTGGTGAATGTCATGTTGGTCTGCAGGCAACTATGGTCTGTGGGACCAGCAGGCCGCCATCGCCTGGGTGCACCGGAACATCCGCTCGTTCGGAGGAGACCCCAGCAACATCACCCTGTTCGGAGAGTCTGCAGGGGGCGCCAGTGTCAACTTCCAGGTCAGATCTAAATGTGGGAACTTATTCATCTGTCTATCTATCTGGGTCTGACTTGGGTCGCCTCACGCAACCAATGAATGGACTCTGCTTAGGTTTATCAAATTAAAGGTTCAATGTTTACATAAGACAGAATACAACAGCCGAATTCAGCCGGGTCCCATTGTCGTGCCATGAAACAGACAATGGGACAACGGGTGAATAGGAATGAACAGACTACAGTCAAAATCCTGTGGAGACAAAGACACAAAATCCAATCAGGAAAACAGACGAACGATGACAATAGAGCAGCAACAAAAGGGGAAGAGCACAAGTACATATAGACACAGAGAGACGCAGGTAAAACACATCAGGGCGGGGCAAACAATCAACAGGGGAACAGAACAGGAAGTACAACAAAACCACAGAGAACAGTAGTCAATATAAAACCGGCCACATGTTTACGTTTCTTTCGTCCCAGACCATGACGCCTCACAACAAAGGGCTGATCCGCAGAGCCATCTCTCAGAGCGGAGTGTCCCTCTGTCCCTGGGCCGTCGCCAAGAACCCACGAAAAACTGCAGAGGAGGTGAGTGAGGCATCCTGACCCACACAAACCCAGCAGTTTCTTAACACAGCATGTCGATCTCACTTTGGTCGGGGGCCAAATTTAAAAACCTAAGATCTGGTTGATTTTTGTATGACATGATATGTTTGTATATTACTTTCTAGTAGTTTTGGATTTAATCAAAACAGGGAAAAATAAAAAGATATGCAATTGAAGATTGATGGATAAATATACAAAAAATACGTCTTTGTCCTAAAGTTACTTCTAATTAGTTACATTTTAGAGCATATTTTATCATATGGTTAGAGAAAGTAAACTTTTCAATGAAGTATAACAAGCCATAGTAGCTCATTACCATCCATGCTGCCAGTTACTGTGATAAAGAGAGTTGAAAATCAGGCCTCAGTTTGCGCACTCGTGACGTTGCCAGGTCTGAATGGACCAGTGTTCAGCAGGAGGTGTCATTTAAACCAGTCAAACGTACGACCTCAAAGGACCAATGTGGCTGCAAGTTTTCATTCCAACCGAGCAGAAGCAGACCAGACTCCAAGTGAGTCCAGTCTTAACCTGGGGGTGTAAGGAAATCGGGGGGTGTCTGTTTGGAATGAACACCTGCAGCCAACCTGGCCCTTTCTGGACCCAGTTTGAGACCCCTGTCCTAATGTTTGATGTAGGTTTCATTATATTTATTTCTGCCATTGTCAGTAACTCTACCAGACTAGTCCCACTGAGATGAATTGTAGCTGTTTTTTACAAATGTCATGTACATTTTAGACTTTAGACTATTTTCAAAACCTTCATTCGTGGTATCTTTTATGTATCTGTAGAAATTTGGGAAAACAGCACTTTGAGGTAAAAGTGTTGATTTTGCTGGAGATTGGAAATGAGTGGGAAGACAAAAGGTGTATGTGTGTGTGTGTGTGTGCTAAACATTATAGTATTTTATTGTATGTCAGCCATCTTCGTAAGAGAGATGATGCATCTCAATGGGGCTATCCTTAAATAGTTAAAGATGCTAGATGCTTTTTTTATGAGTTCATATAAATGCTTGTTACTACATATAAATTAAATTATAATCCGTAATTTCATTGAAAACTTGAGCTCATTGATTTAGCTTGTGTATACATTCAGGCCATAAAAAGTGCTGAGAAGAAACGTTCACTCACAGAACGAGGAGCGGTGCTGTTCCGAACAGGCTGCCTCCACTACCTTCTACAGCGCTGGTAAACAACAGCAGAATGGTGGCTGATAGTGGCTATACCTGCTCTGGCTGTAACTGCAGACACAGCAAAACAGCCAGATGCAACAGTGAGGAAGTGAAAGAGGGAACTAAAGCCAAAAAACGATCAAAGAAGAAATCAAGCCCAGGTGAACATAGCTAACTTACATCGTATCCTCTGGAGAGACTTGTCTATGGGAGAGACCTGCGGGACCGCCTCGGACTATCTATGCTCGGACTATCTATGCTCGGACTATCTATGCTCAGACTATCTATGCTCGGACTATCTATGCTCAGACTATCTATGCTCGGACTGTGTGTGTATGTACTGTATGTATGTGTGTATATACTGCGTGTATGTATGTATATACTGCGTGTATTTGTGTGTAAGTACTGTATGTATGTGTGTATGCACTGTATGTCTGTGTGTATTTACTGTATGTATATGTGTATATACTGCGTGTATGTGTGTATATACTGCGTGTATGTGTGTGTATGCACTGTATGTCTGTGTGTATGTATTATTGAATGACCTTTTATATGTTGCTGGTGATCATGGTTTCGATCATGGTTATTGATCGGGGCAGATATTGTTCTTGTGTGTGTTTGTGTGTGTATTGATTGTGTAGTAATTTGGTGATAAAACATGTATATGGATTGATTCTTTTTAGTCAGTTTTGAACAGAATAGATTGGTTTAAAGCTCAGCCATAGCAGCTTCATGGTATTCACCACAACAACAGCAGGCAGGGCAACAAGCAGGGCCTGGTCGGGTCAGTGCTGTGATGGGAGACCTCTGGTAATACAAGGTGCCACAGGGGGGTGTGTGTGTGTGTGTGTGTGTGTGTGTGTGTGTGTGTGTGTGTGTGTGTGTGTGTGTGTGTGTGTGTGTGTGTGTGTGTGTGTGTGTGTGTGTGTGTGTGTGTGTGTGTGTGTGTGTGTGTGTGTGTGTGTGTGTGTGTGTGTGCACTTGTTTTCAACTCCTGGTGGGTTCCATAACCTGAGATTCCACTCACGTCATGGGGACTGGTTTTACGTGGTGGGGCCCGAACACCGGACCCCACTGGTCCAAGCTTAATAATCAATGGGTAATGCTTTTCTAACGGTCCTTATGCAGTCTCTGTAAAAATATGGAAAGGACCCCTGGAGGTTTACTTTCCTGAAAAAAGTGTGTTATGTGTCGGAACCCTGGTGGTGGGTTGCGGGATATCAAGGAGGGGCACACTGGGGCAATTTCAGTCCAGCAGGCTGGAGCCAATCATGGAGCAGCACAACAGAGGAAATCAGGTGTCAGGCTAGAAAAAGGTGCAAGTGTGTGGTTCATTAGGCTGCAAGAAATCATGGAGGAGCACACTGAAGCGCACGCTTACAAACCACTGGTAAGTGCTGACTACAAGTCATGACTTCAAATTGTTATATAGAATGATTACAAATTATTTGTTGTTTGTGCAGCTTAGTCAAGAGTCCCTAATTGATGAAGTCGACTCAGATTCTGACGATTTAACTGTCAAGAAGAAACCTGTAAAAAAGTATGGAAAAAGAAAAATCAAAAACACTTTTCTTCAAGACTCGGAAAGTGACGAACCAAAGGCAAATAAGATTGTTATCATGCAGCTGCAAAAGAAGAAAAATGGGGGGCGAGTATACAGCAAGAGACACTTCTGCCTCTACTGTTCAATGTCCTGCCACAAAATGTCCCGTCATTTGACTAGAAAACATGGAAATGAAAGTGACGTAGCCAGAGCATTGGCTCTACCTGTGAAATCTAAAGCACGTAAACTTCAGTTTGATTTGATCAGGAATAGTGGAAACCGTGAGCACAATTTTGAGGTTTTAAAGGCCGGCATTGGAACTTTAGTCCCAGCTAAACAGCCAAATTGCCCAGTTAAATCCAGTGAGTTTTTGCACTGTATAGACTGTGGGGCATTGCTTAAGCGAAAGTCGCTGTGGAGGCATGTGGCCAGGTGCCGGCTTTCACAGAAAGATGCCCAGGCTAAACCAGGTAGAAGTAGGGTCCAGTCCCTCTGCTCCCTAGCCCAGCCTGTACCGGAGGGCATCAGCAAAAAGCTGTGGTCTTTAATTTCGGCAATGCATCAGGATGAGGTCACGGGTGTTGTCAAAGCAGAAAAGGGGATTCTGAGACTCGGAGAGCACCTGTACTTAAAACACGGGCATGATAAGACAAAGCATGATTACATTAGGCAGAAAATGAGAGAAGTCGGTAGGTTAATTAACGAAGCAAAAACCGCAGGGAAACTGAAAACAATTAAGGATTTCTTTATTCCTTCCAACTTTAACCATGTGATTGATGCAGTCAGGTCTGTGGCTGGATATGATGAGGAAACAAATCAATACAAGACTCCATCCTTGGCCCTCAAACTCGGCCATAGCCTCAGAAAGCTAGCAGATATTCTTGAATGTGACTCAAAAATGGAGCATTGTGTTGATGAACTATTTATTAAAAACCTCCAACGAAGCCGGCTGCTTTTTGAGAAGAGGTGGGACGTCTGTGTTTCTTCTGCTGCCCTACAGACCCTCCGGCAAGCCAAGTGGAACACTCCGGACCTGCTCCCTCTGACTGAGGACGTTAGAGCCATGCATGCACATATTGAGGTATGTCGACCTGAATATGTGCAAACCCTAATAAGTGAGCCAACGTCTAAGCATTGGTCTAAACTGGCAGTTTTGACTCTTTGTGAGGTCATCATTTTCAATCGAAGAAGGGAAGGTGAGGTTTCAAAGATCACACTGACAGCCTTTACCTTAAGAAGTAAGACTGGGATCCATTCTGACATTGCTCTGGGACTGTCCCAACTTGAGAAAAAGCTGTGTCAGCATTTTCAACGCATTGAAATTAAAGGGAAAAGAAGTCGGAAAGTGCCGGTTCTTTTGACTCCTGAAATGATTGCTTCGATGGAGGTGCTGGTGGAGAACAGAAGGGCCTGTTCCATCTCTGACCATAACCCATACTTCTTTTCCCGCCCGGGCGCAGACACCCACATCAGGGGATCAGACTCCCTACGCCAGGTAGCCAAAGAATGTGGTGCGGTGCATCCAGAGATGCTATCCTCAACCAAACTTAGAAAGCACATAGCTACTATGTCTACAGTTCTCAATATGAAAGAGAATGAGATGGACATACTTGCCAACTTCCTCGGCCATGACATTCGCATCCACAGGCAATATTACAGACTACCAGAGGGGACACTGGAGCTGGCCAAAATCAGCAAAGTGTTGATGGCCAGGAGCAGGGAAGAGTGACGGAATTCGAAGGAAAGAGCCTCGACCAGATACAAATTGAGCCTGAAGGTAATTCTTGATATTATTAAAATATGTATGATTTTTTTCCCCTAAAGGCCACTTGTATTTTTATTTTCTGTGCGACAGGGAGAGCAGTAGAGATCCTCTCACAAACGGACGGGCTAAAAGAAACTTCAAGCGGAGAACCTTCAACCATTCATCCAGATGCACCCCATGGTAGTGGCAGTGCCCCTTCTGGTAAGTGTACCAGGTGGGGGATTACAGCCAGGCTGCTTGGTCCTCACCCTGGGAGTGTATATTGCTAATATATTTTTATTTCTCTCCCTAGAACGTGTAAGAAAGCCATGGTCTGCATCTGAGGTGAAGGCTGTGGAGAAGACCATGACACCTTTCATACAGACTGGAAAGGTCCCTGGGAAGTCTCACTGCCTGGCCTGCATTAATGCCTCACCAGATGACCTTAGACATCGGACATGGAGTGGCATTAAATTCTATGTCAAAAATAGAATCACTGCAATTCGAAAACAAAATCTAAAATAAAATTCCTTTAAAATAGTTGT